AGGTCTTTGTTGCAGATCTAACTTTGAAGACACATACCTATTTTGCGGCTGTTTCGTTCGCTTCAAAATGTACATACTCTCCTGTTTTGCTGATCCGGTGCTTAGACAAATAACTGGCCAAACTGGCCCTAAGATGAAGTCTGAGTTCGAAATATATCTCAAATAATGTATGCACTGCCATTTCCCCACACAAACATAACAGTCCAGTGTTTTCCCCTAGCAGAGAGAGAAGTGAAGGATTATTGTTATTGTACAGTAACAAAGTATTTGTACATTAAAAAGTAATAAAGTACAGTGTTACACTGTACTGTATTACTTGTATTCAAACTGTATTCCCTTCTTATCATGTAGCAGGGGCGGATCTACTGGGCAACTGCCACCCTAAAAAATAGCCTTGCCACCCCAGTTGCATCTTTGTTTTGAAAGAAAAGTTGTGGCTCATCGGACATTTATGAGAGAAAATCTCTAATGTGCGGCACAAGACTTGCGTCTTGTGCTGCATTCACTGGCCCTGGCGCGAGCTTGGAAATATGATATGCGGCAATTTCATTTGAACGGGGGACGGCGCAAAACAAGAAGCATTCGGACCCAAGTAGACGGAAGGAATGAGGTATTTGCGGTCTACAACGACAGAGAAGAGACTGTCAAGTTTGGCTGTACTCAGCATTGAATCAAAACGCACTAAAGCTGTCTATCCTAATACGTTTGTGAGGCGTTTTGCTGAACAAAATTGTAATCGCCACATTCAGCTGTGATAGGAATGCCAACTTGATGCTCTGCTCACGGATGACTCGATGAGCATAAAAAACTGTTAAGATGATGACCTTGTATGTGTGTGTATTAGGGCTGTCCCGAATACAATTTTTCGGACTCCGGATATTCGGTAGTAATCGGCAGCGAATATTCGGTGCGGAGAGATTATTATTATTTTTTAATAACATTTTTTTTCCCAAAAGGTTTCATAACACGCTCCGAATCCGAGACACCTGACAACACGCTGTTAAGCAGAAAGAGCATACTATTACGATTTATATTTATTTATTGTCTCAGTACTCGCATACATTAAAACTAAATGTGTCCTCTGCATTTAACCCAGCCGCAGCGCAGCGCCCGGGGACCAAATCTGGTTCCAAATTCCGTCTATAACGTTTTACAACCTGAAGATACAAAACACATATATCTGTTATAAAAAACAATACTTTTAATAACATAGCCGTAACAGTAGGCCTAACAGTGTACCGATACAGTAAACAGTATTTAAATAAATGAAGAACGAAAAATAAATGAACGCACTGTATGCCAATAATTGCCTTAGCCCCAGATGTTCCCACATTACTCCTATTATTTTCACAAATCGGATAACATTGAAAAACTAATATAAAAAAACAATTCGGTTGCTTGCTTGCAACTATTTTCCAAGCAAATTAAGTGCACGATTTTTATCATGTGTAACGTTACTGTTTAAACTGCAGATAAAGCAGCATCATGGCAACTTGACAACAGCTAAGCTAAGCTAGGCTAGTACTTACAGCATCCAGGTGACTTTTCAGAGTTGTTGTGCCACCGTGGTAGGCCAGTTTCTTGTCGCATATTCTTCTTACCGTCGTCCAATTTAAAATGGTCCCACACAGCTAAAGTCTTCAACATTTTGTGTTCAGTCTGCAATGAAACGGCTGTCTCCTGTGCGCTCCACTTCCTCCTTGGCGCACGGTAACTTTCTTGTGCGAGCAAGATACTTTCTCTCTCTCTTTTTGAATTTTTTCACTGCCCTTTAGGGGCTTCGTACAATACAAAAACAAATGCAAATATTTTATTTAAAAAAAGTAAAGTACTTTCGAGTCATCCGTCTCAAGCCTAAGTCAAGTCTCAAGTCATGAATACCAAGTCAAAGTCAAGTCTTTTATCAATGTTAGTCAAGGAAGTCTCAAGTCTCAAATATGCGACTCGAGTCCCCCCTCTGGTTTATACTGTGGTTAGGATGTTGCTGTATTACTGTATCAAATATAATACAAATATAATAAACACAAACAGTTAGTAAAAGTAGTATTTTATTAACTATAAGTATTAAGTGAGTTTTTATTGTGTTAACTGTATATGTATTCATGCTTTTTAGATTTACTTTCTCTCTTTCTCTGTCCGTCTGTTTTAGAAACCGAAAGGAAGAGAGAGACGTCACAGCTGTCAGCAGTGTGAGAAATATTTTACAACATCTGGAACTTTAAAGCTCCACCTGCGTATTCATACAGGAGAAAAACCGTACAGCTGTGAAGAGTGTGGGAACACGTTCACTACATCAGGTGATCTCAAAGCACATCAACGTATTCACACAGGAGAAAAGCCGTACAGCTGTGAAGAGTGTGGACAAACCTTCACTAAATCAGGTTCTCTCAAAGCACATCAAGGTATTCACCATCCATCCATCTTCTCCCGCTTATCCGTGGTCGGGTCGCGGGGGTAGCAGTTCCAGCAGAGAGCCCCAAACTTATTTTTCCCTGGCGACATCAACCAGCTCTGACTGGGGGATCCCAAGGCGCTCCCAGGCCAGCGAAGAGATATAATCCCTCCACCTGGTCCTAGGTCTACCCCTTGGTCTCTTCCCAGCTGGACGTGCCTGGAACACCTCCCTAGGGAGGCGCCCAGGTGGCATCCTAACTAGGTGCCCGAACCACCTCAACTGGCTCCTTTCGACGCGAAGGAGGAGCGGCTCAACTCTGAGTCCCTCCCGGATGACCGAACTTCTCACCTTATCCCTAAGGGAGACACCAGCCACCCTGCGGAGAAAACCCATCTCGGCCGCTTGTATCCGCGATCTCGTTCTTTTGGTCATGACCCATCCTTCATGACCATAGGTGAGGGTAGGAACGAAAATGGCCCGGTAGACAGAGAGCTTTGCCTTCTGGCTCAGCTCCCTTTTCGTCACAACGGTGCGGTAAAGCGACTGCAGTACCGCTCCCGCTGCTCCGACTCTCCGGCCCATCTCACGCTCCATTGTTCCCTCACTCAAGAACAAGACCCCGAGATACTTGAACTCCTTCACTTGGGGTAAGGACTCATTCCCTACTTGGAGTGGACAGTCCATCGGTTTCCTGCTGAGAACCATGGCCTCAGATTTGGAGGTGCTGATCCTCATCCAAGCCGCTTCACACTCGGTTGCAAACCGATCCAGTGAGTGCTGAAGGTCGCAGACCGATGAAGCCATCAGAACCACATCATCTGCAAAAAGCAGTGGTGCAATCCTTAGTCCACCGAACTGCGGACCCGCTCCCCCATGACTATGCCTCGAAATCCGAACCATGTATATTACAAACGGGATTGGTGACAAAGCACAGCCCTGGCGGAGGCCAACCCTCACCGGAAATGGGTCCGACTTACTGCCGAGGACCCAGACACAGCTCTCGCTTTGGGAGTACAGAGATTGGATGGCCCTGAGTAGAGACCCCCTCACCCCATACTCCCGCAGCACCTCCCACAGTAACTCCCTGGGAACTCGGTCATACGCCTTCTCCAAGTCTACAAAACACATGTAGACCGGATAAGCATACTCCCAGGCCCCCTCCAGGATCCTTGCGAGAGTAAAAAGCTGATCCGTCGTTCCACGACCAGGACGGAATCCGCATTGTTCCTCCTCAATCTGAGGTTCGACAATCGGCCTGACCCTCCTTTCGAGTACCTTAGAGTAAACTTTCCCGGGGAGGCTGAGTAGTGTGATGCCTCTGTAATTGGCACACACCCTCTGATCCCCCTTTTTAAAAAGGGGAACCACCACTCCGGTCTGCCACTCCTTCGGTACTGTTTCCGACTTCCACGCAATGTTGACGAGACGTGTCAACCATGACAGTCCCTCAACACCCAGAGCCTTCAGCATTTCTGGGCAGATCTCATCCACCCCCGGGGCTTTGCCAGTGTGGAGTTGTTTAACGACCTCAGTGACCTCCCCCCGGGAGATTGGTGTTGATCCCCCGTCATACTCCAGCTCTGCCTCTAACATAGAGGGCGGAGTTGTCGGGTTCAGGAGTTCCTCAAAGTGTTCCTTCCAACGCCCTAACACTCCATCAGTTGAGGTCAACAACGTCCCATCCTTACTGTACACAGCTTGGATGGTTCCCTGCTTCCCCCTCCTGAGGTGTCGGACAGTTTTCCAGAACAACTTTGGTGGCGCTCGAAAGTCCTTCTCCATGTCTTCTCCGAACTTCTCCCACACCCGCTGCTTTGCCTCGGCCACGGATGAGGCTGCTGCCCTTCGGGCCTGTCGGTACCTTGCAACTGCTTCGGGCGTCCCCCGGGATAACAAATCTTCAGTCGGACGGCTTCCCTGACCACCGGTGTCCACCAGGAGGTTCGAGGGTTACCGCCCCTTGAGGCACCTAGGACCTTAAGACCACAGCTCCCCGCCGCGTCTTCGGCAATAGAGGCTTTGAACACCGACCACTCTGGTTCAATGTCCCCAACCTCCACAGGAATGCCTGAAAAGCTCCGCCGGAGGTGTGAGTTGAAGGCCTCCTGAACTTGGGCCTCCTCCAGACGTTCCCAGTTCACCCGAACTACACGTTTGGGCTTACCAGGTCTATACAGAGGCTTCCCCCGCCACTCGACCCAACTCACCACCAGATGGTGATCAGTTGACAACTCCGCCCCTCTCTTTACCCGAGTGTCCAAAACATACGGCCTCAGGTCCGATGATACGAAATCGATCATGGACCTTCTGCCTAGGGTGCTCTGGTACCACGTACACTTATGAGCATCCTTATGTTCGAACATGGTGTTTGTTATGGCCAATCCATGACAAGCACAGAAGTCCAGTAACAAACCACCACTCCGGTTCAGATCAGGGGGACCGTTCCTCCCAATCACGCCCCTCCAAGTGTCTCCATCATTGCCCACATGTGCGTTGAAGTCTCCCAGCAAGACTAAAGAGTCCCCTTCAGGAGCCCCATACAGGACTCTTTCCAGGGTCTCCAAGAAGGCCGTATACTCTGAACTGCTGTTTGGTGCATAATCAACGTATTCACACTGAGGAAAAACCGTACTGGTGTGAAGAGTGTGAGAAAACGTTCAAGAGATCAAGTGAACTCACAAGACATCAACATATTCACACTGGACAAAAACCGTACAGCTGTGAAGAGTGTGGGAAAAAGTTCACTACATCAGGTACTCTCAAAACGCATCACCGTATTCACACTGGAGAAAAACCGTACTGGTGTGAAGAGTGTGGGAAAACATTCACGACATCAGGTGCTCTCAAAAAACATCACCGTTTTCACACAGGAGAGAAACCGTACAGCTGTGAAGAGTGTGGGACAACATTCACTCAATTAAGTACTCTCAAAATGCATCAACGTATTCACACAGGAGAGAAACCGTACAGCTGGGAAGAGTGTTGGAAAACGTTTTCTCAAAGTGTTCAACTTAAAGTCCATGATCGAATCCACACTCCATAGTTTTGATCAACTATGAGAGCCAAGCTATCTGTTTCCTCTTCCTGGTGTCCTGAGAGCTGTATTGTTATATTTTAAGAGTCTTTCTGAATTGAAGTCTGACTAACAGTTTTTTATGTTCTAACCAGCTTTCACACTATGCCAGCACAAGGCCACAAAGATGCTGTTTCTCCCGATTTAATTCATGTTTGTAACAGTTCCTAATCTATAAAGAATTGTTTCACTATGCTGTTTTTAAACTAACTTTCTAATATTCCTTTTATAAAATATTGTATGTCCAGGGTTAAACTGCTAGCCTCGTTGAGCTGCATTGAAGGAATTTAGTTTCACTGTTCATTAATCTGCCGAGAAGTTTCTCGAATAATCAGTTTGGTTAATAACATTTTGTGACTTTAAACTTCGATTGGGATGTTTTTGATATTTCCTGCAGGACACAGCCCCCAGACTCAAGAATTCATGCTTACAGAGCTGTTAGTCCGACGATGAGTCAAGCTGTTATTCTGAGAGCTTCACTTTCCTCTGATCGCTGAGGAGACGCACTTTTTATTCATCAGAGCAGTGTGAGGGGATGTTACCCTAACAGATAAACAGCAAGGCAACATGGAGTTCTGCAGGATAAAGTATTCCTGTGTTGGTCCCTGAAGGCAACATCTCCCTGGTCCATGGGATTTTGGATTATGGCAGAAAATAATCTCTGTCAAAAAAATGTTTTTGATACTTATAGTTCAGCAGGATCCTAATATGAACTACTGTATGATATCTGAAGTAAAAAGCTAATGTTGACCTATAAAGGAACAACAGCCGATCACATGACTTCACGTCACCACCGCTAAGCTAAAGGCGGCTAATGTTGGGCTATAAAGGAACTATAGCCAGGTCAGTGGTCACATGACTTCACGTCACCTCTGCTAAGCTAAAGGCGGCTAATGTTGAGCTATGAAGGAACTATAGCCAGGTCACATGACTTCACGTCACCACTGCTAAGCTAAAGGCGGCTAGTGTTAGGGTATAATGGAACTATAGCCAGTTCACATGACCTCTGCTAAGGTAAAGAAGGGTAATGTTAGGGTATAAAGGAACTACAGCCAGGTCACATGACTTCACGTCACCACTGCTAAGCTAAAGGCGGCTAATGTTAGGGTATAATGGAACTATAGCCAGTTCACATGACGTCACCTCTGCTAAGGTAAAGAAGGGTAATGTTAGGGTATAAAGGAACTACAGCCAGGTCACATTACTTCACGTCACCACCGCTAAGCTAAAGGCGGCTAATGTTGGGCGTTATGCTGCTGATTGGGTGACTTTTGACCTCCTCGCTGTCTGTTGCTTGTGTCACTAGAGTTGGAAACTTCATGGATGACATTATAAGTGCTTTAAACGCAAAGTATTCTTCTGATCTGCAGCAGGTGGAAATGAGAAACGTGTGATCGCTCCGAGGCGTTTCACTGCAGGCCAACCAGCAGCTCTGAATACAAATCATGTTAAGCTCTTTTATTTCATCTGAACTAATTAAAGTGATGAAATCTGGAGCAATATCCTCCTTTATTTTTAAATATTCCCGGCACTGTGAAGCTGCTGGCAAAAGGAAATTAGAATATGAGGTTGATTATTGAATCTAATGGTCTTGATTATTATACAAACACAGTCCCGACAAAATGGAAAGACATCACAAAACTATAATTCAGTTACTATCATTCATTATGTCTTTTTTTAAACTGTGTGTGTGTGTGTGTGTGTGTGTGTGTGTGTGTGTGTGTGTGTGTGTGTGTGTGTGTGTGTGTGTGTGTGTGTGTGTGTGTGTGTGTGTGTGTGTGTGTGTGTGTGTGTGTGTGTGTGTGTGTGTGTGTGTGTGTGTGTGTGTGTTTCCAATCACACATAGCTAAATCAGATCAAGGCCACAGCTCATGATTTAAGAATCAGTATTCATGATGCACCTGAACATCAGCAGGAGAGGACTCTTTAAAGAGACACTACATACTGATATACACCTGAACATCAGCAGGAGAGGACTCTTTAAAGTAGAGACACTACATACTGATATACACCTGAACATCAGTAGGAGAGGACTCTTTAAAGTAGAGACACTACACACTGATATACACCTGAACATCAGCAGGAGAGGACTCTTTAAAGTAGAGACACTACACACTGATATACACCTGAACATCAGCAGGAGAGGACTCCTTAAAGTAGAGACACTACATACTGATATACACCTGAACATCAGCAGGATAGGACTCTTTAAAGTAGAGACACTACATACTGATATACACCTGAACATCAGCATGAGAGGACTCTTTAAAGAAGATACTCTACATACTGATATACACCTGAACATCAGCAGGAGAGGACTCTTTAAAGAGACACTACATACTGATATACACCTGAACATCAGCAGGAGAGGACTCTTTAAAGTAGAGACACTACATACTGATATACACCTGAACATCAGTAGGAGAGGACTCTTTAAAGTAGAGACACTACACACTGATATACACCTGAACATCAGCAGGAGAGGACTCTTTAAAGTAGAGACACTACACACTGATATACACCTGAATATCAGCAGGAGAGGACTCTTTAAAGTAGAGACACTACACACTGATATACACCTGAATATCAGCAGGATAGGACTCTTTAAAGTAGAGACACTACATACTGATATACACCTGAACATCAGCATGAGAGGACTCTTTAAAGAAGATACTCTACATACTGATATACACCTGAACATCAGCAGGAGAGGACTCTTTAAAGAGACACTACATACTGATATACACCTGAACATCAGCAGGAGAGGACTCTTTAAAGTAGAGACACTACATACTGATATACACCTGAACATCAGTAGGAGAGGACTCTTTAAAGTAGAAACACTACACACTGATATACACCTGAACATCAGCAGGAGAGGACTCTTTAAAGTAGAGACACTACACACTGATATACACCTGAACATCAGCAGGAGAGGACTCTTTAAAGTAGAAACACTACATACTGATATACACCTGAATATCAGCAGGAGAGGACTCTTTAAAGTAGAGACACTACATACTGATATACACCTGAACATCAGCAGGAGAGGACTCCTTAAAGTAGAGACACTACATACTGATATACACCTGAACATCAGCAGGAGAGGACTCTTTAAAGTAGAGACACGACATACTGATATACACCTGAACATCAGCAGGATAGGACTCTTTAAAGTAGAGACACTACATACTGATATACACCTGAACATCAGCATGAGAGGACTCTTTAAAGAAGATACTCTACATACTGATATACACCTGAACATCAGCAGGAGAGGACTCTTTAAAGTAGAGACACTACATACTGATATACACCTGAACATCAGCAGGAGCGGACTCTTTAAAGTAGAGACACTACATACTGATATACACCTGGACATCAGCAGGAGAGGACTCTTTAAAGTAGAGACACTACATACTGATATACACCTGAACATCAGCAGGAGAGGACTCTTTAAAGTAGAGACACTACATAACATAAACACATATTTCTCGATGATGATACCTCACACAGTAAATTGATATCATTGTGATTCCTATATGTTATTTATGTATCTGTGTCTGTGCAGGTGTTGAGGTGGGGTTCCCTGCAGGATTTAAGCTAACGAGCAGTTAGCTGCTGCTTCTCCTGCAGTCCTGTCAGCCGCTACCTTTGATGTCGGCATGTTTTTCCCAGCGTCGGTGAAGGTGGAGGGTTGATTTGCATACAAAGATATTCTCTCCTCCTCTTTGTTCTCGCTCAGAGAGAGTGGTTGTCTTCATCAGTCAGACGAGTTTATCTGCACACTGACTACTTTTACTTTTGGTATACTTTAACTATATTTTGATGCTAATACCTTCCTACTTTTACGTGAGTAACATTTTGAATGCAGGACTTTTACTGTAACCGAGTATTCCTACACTCTGGTACTTCAACTTTTACTCAAGTACAATATCTGAGTACTTTTAATTTGACTCAAGTACAATATCTGAGTACTTCTACTTTTACTCAAGGACAATATCTGAGTACTTCTACTTTTATAAATTTAATCAAGTCTTAAATCAGACTTTAGTTCCACCTGGAGTAAATTCACAAGCTACCCTGCAGTATGCAAAGTCATTACAACTAGCTGCACCTTTACCAGCTCTGATAACACTTTAATGATCAATCATTATAATCACAACATACAGTATATAATAAAAATAAAATGTGTGATCACAAACAAAAACATTTTTCCCAACTTTTAAAACCCGCCATACCAGTCCCATATTTATATTATTATTATTATTGTAATTATTATTGATTTTAATACCGTTTTTCACCACATAGGGGCAGTGCATTTATATTTAAAATAAAATCCCATGATGCATTGCTGCGCTCCGTTTCTAGCTTCCGGTCCTCAGAAGCTAGACGTTGCCAGAGCCGTATATAATATTATACGGCTCTGGACGTTGCTAACAGACGCTGATGCTGATTTTATACCGAATGTAATGTGTTTAAGAGACTTTTAAAACACATACAAATACTTAGTTTATCCTTGGAGGGTGATTTATCCGTTAAACCGTGTTTTTGTTGCCTCCCGTTCTTTGTTCGTAGCTTTTTATACCACGTGGCTGATCGGTAAACATAAGTAAAGGCATTGAAGGGAGATTAGTGTGTTTAACGGCAGTGTTTTATCAAGGAGAAGAAAGACTGAAGAACCAGGACGAAGAGGAGAGAGAGAGGTAACTTCATTCTCTGTGTGTGTGTGTGTGTGTGTGTGTGTGTGTGTGTGTGTGTGTGTGTGTGTGTGTGTGTGTGTGTGTGTGTGTGTGTGTGTGTGTGTGTGTGTGTGTGTGTGTGTGTGTGTGTGTGTGTGTGTGTGTGTGTGTGTGTGTGTGTGTGTGTGTGTGTGTGTGTGTGTGTGTGTGTGTGTGTGTGTGTG